TTAAGGAATGGGCTCTCAAATTGGCCGCCTTTACTGCGTAGTTAGCTTGACCTCGGGTACCGAGAGACGCTTGACTGGTCGTGAGCTATGACTGGAATATTTTCTCGATATTCAGAAAATTATAATTGTTAATGAAAAATGAATTCATTAATTCCAATCAAAGGTGTTAATTATTATTAACCAGCTGAATTAATAACTTAGATCCTCACGACCAAACCCTGGAGGTCTGGAACATTCCTCGGGTGTAACAATCCCCTGGAGGAATTATTCTCAAAGCTAACAAAATTAATTTAATTCAAACAGTTAAATTATTATTGAATAAAATATTCTAAGACGAATTGAATTACCATTAATTTACTAAATGAGAAGTAGTATGGAAATTGAGCCGGGTGTGACCCCCAAGGCTCAACACTACCAAAGTCCAATATCTGGCGTCAATTGGTTTGAAGGAACTCTTTGGTTGCTAATGGCTTCCTTCTTGGACTCCTCGATGTTACTTGTTTTAATACTACACTACTTCTTCCGACACAACGCGCTGCTCAGCTATTTAATAGCTCCCCGAAATACCCCCTCCTACTCTCTTTCTAGGGCCGAAGATCGATGCGCCAAAATGCTAGTCGACAAAGTTATCGATCTCTGGCGACTTATCGATTAAGGGTAATTTACCCTGTTACAAGATTCTTATAAAAATCAAGACGAGAGAAAATAACATCTAGAATATATTTAATAATAATCAGTATGGTTTTCAAGAATATGAGAATGTTTATTAATAAAAAACATTCAAAATTTATCTCTGTCTCTCTTTCTCCAACGTGATTTAGTATAGGGAAATCTACTACGTTAATAAAATAAGGTTAGGTTTTATGATTTGACTCTTGTGGTAACGGTAGTACCTTAACTGAAACTTTCAATGCTCATTTCAAATTTTTTTTCTTCATGTCAATTATTATTCATTTTTTGAAGAAAGCCACGGGAATTTTATATTAATTGCACATTGAAAGTTACAATAAATATTAGATCGAATGATCACATGGATAAAAGGTAAATGCCAATTCGATGAAATTTGAAATCTCTGTAAGTCAATACAATACTCCAATTAAATTTCAAGTTTAAATGTACAAATACAATTCTATAAACGCCCAGCGGAGCGGGCAGGTAACAGCTAGTATATGATATTTTTCATATTTGTGAAATATATAAAATATAAAAAAAAATTCGTGTGGGTAATCAAATGAAAGGTCTCGATGAGTGTAACACCAGGACGGGCTTACATAATTAAAAATTTCATCGGTAGACAAAATACAACGTCTATAAAATAATCTATAAAATCTATAATCTGTAATTCTATAAAATAATCGGTTTTTTTTTTTTTTTTAACAAAATCGTTATTTTTTCAAAGTTGGCCACTTTTTTTTTTATTTTTTTTTTCTCAAAAAAAACTTCAATCAATTTGACAACTATTTCCGCTCATCCCGAGCAGGGCCGATTTGTTTTTTTATTTTTTTTTTATTTAATTGAAAAAAATATTGTCAAATTTTCTGAAATAATAAAAACTTTTTTTTATATACCCCATATACATAAATTTTAATGATAAATAAATTTTTCATATGTCACATGGATATTTCTATCATGTTATTAAAAAAAAATTTCCATGTTACCATTGGAAAAATTCCTATGCTAACATTGGAAAAATCCCAATGTCAACATAGGAATTTTTCCTATGCAAAAATAGGAAAAATCCCTATGTTTTTTTCTCCGTGTAGCATAGTTTTTTATAGAATCCTACCTGTATGCTCTCTACCTCGTTTATGTATCGTAGAGCCCAAATAGGCGCAGCATATAGCAGTACCGACGAGATCATGCTGTCAAAAAGCATATCAATGCTTTTTTTATTATTCATTTTTGTTTTGTATATGAGAGAGGTTACAGCGCCTGATGCTAGCTTAGTTTTCGCTGTCCTGTCTTCCATAGCCAGCCGCCCTAGTCCTAATGATGAGAACATCATGCCTAAGTGGATAAATTTGCTTACTATTTCTGTCTTTATTGTTGTACAAGAATCTTAGGTTTTTAGGCACTCTTCCGCCTCTTCTGCAGTACAGTATTTTTGTTTTTTCTTCATTTATCACTAATTTATTTATCTCACAGTATTGGTGTAGTACTTTGAGTGTTTTGGCTACTGCTGCTTTGCTGTGGAGGATTATAGCGAGGTCATCAGCATACATGAGGAGTAAGATGTCGGTGAGTATGTTTATATTGATGCCATATATTCCCTTTTTTCTTAGAAAGTCTTCTAGGTCAGCACAGAACAGAATAAACAATAAAGGGCTTAAAATTTCGCCCTGTAGCAGGCCTTCGGTGACTTTAATTTTATTTGATAGTCCATTTGGTGTTTTAATTTTTATCGTTGCCCTGTCATACAAGTTTTTTAACAATCTGATGATTTTGCTGCTTACGCCCAGAGCATGTAATTTGTCCCATAGGATGTTGTGTACAAGGGAATCAAAAGCTCTTTTGAAGTCAACGAATATTACGAAAAGGTTTTTGTTTGCTCGAAGTCGGCTCCATATAAGCTCTTGTAGAACGTAGATATGATCCAGACAGCTTTTGTTTGCTTGAAAGCCCGCTTGTGATTCTGGGATGATTTTGCATTCTAATGCCCAGTTAAGTAGCCGATTGTTGATGATCTTAGTGAAGATTTTTGTTACTTGATTTATGAGGGCAATTCCTCGATAATTTTCTGGGTCCGCAGTCTCTCCCTTCTTATGTATCATCGTAAGCACCAAACTTTCCCAGGCTTCGGGGGTTATTTCGTACTTAAATACTCTATTGAATAGGCTTAATAGTAGGAGTTTCCAATTTTGTGGTAGTGCTTGATAGAATTCATTTGTAATTTTGTCTTCACCGGCTGCTTTATTTTTTGCACTATTATTTAGTGCCCTGTTTAATTCTGCCATCGTTATTTCAGCATCTAGTGTGGGATGATTGACTCCTGTGTATACTGATGGGTTTGTTTGGGCAGGCTGGTATATGTTTGTGTAAAATTCTTCCCATTTTTGTGCTTCTATTGGTGGTGTTGTGAAAGGCCTGTTTTGGAAAGTTCTGATAGCTTTCCAAAAGTCAGTGCTATATCTTGTGTTGTTTATCTTATTTAGAATATCAGCATGGTAGTTTCGCTTCTTATCTTTGCATAACATCAAATAATCTTTCCTAGCCTTTAAGTAAGTGGTCTTGTCCGTAGAGTTGGAGTTTGGCTTCCTGTATTTGCGCAGTTCTCGATTTGCGATTTTCTTCAGCTCCTTGCAGTCGTTGTCGTACCATCTTTTCCTGAATGGGGGTCTTAGGCCTTTTGTCATCTTCAGTTCGAGTGCAGTTTTTTTAATGGCTGCTTGTAGCTTGTTTTGTAGGTCTGCGATTGAGTCCGATGGATTGACTTGCACTAGTTTAGACCATCTCATGGCCAGGCCGTAGTCATGCTTCTATTCATTTCTCCATTTTATTGTAGACTGATATTGTGTATTGCTGGTTTCTGTGACCTCTAAGTTCAAGGTTAGGTTTATAGGGAAATGGTCAGATCCACTTACTATCTCTTGTACTTCGAAGTCGTGAATTGTGTATATACCTTCACAGTTCGTCCAAACTAGATCGATTGTGCTGTTTTCTCTTCCATGAAAAGTATGGTAGTGCTGGGTAGTCGCTGTTTGTTCGACCATTTATTAAGATTAAACCTTGGTCTTCCGTGAATGATTTTAATTTTTTCCCTCGCGTATTCTCTGTGTCTTGTGATAGTCCGGTTGCCTTTATATTACAGCTGTTTGTTAATTCTTCCGGTAATAGTGATGGGTTTCCCACTCTCGCATTGAAGTCTCCTATTATTTAGAATGGTAATGCATTGAATTCGGTGTAAGTTGATTCAAGGTTGCTGTAGAGGTTTGCTAGATCTACCCACAAGTCTTCATGTGGGCGAAAGTAGACGAATCCGCACAGTAGCTTGAATGTAAAACATGTTATTAAGACTAGTATCCAGTTTTTAGAATGATTAAGAATTTTACAATGGATTGACTTACGCTTAATAAGCAGGATCCCTCCACTTGCTCGACCAAGTTGATTTGTCCTGATTGCTGGCACCTAGAAGGTGTTGTATCTTTCCCATGCTGGTCCTAGATGGTAGAGGTTGGTCACCCAAGTTTCGGCTAGGCAGATTACATCATATTTCTGTAGAGTATCGTTTGTACTTATGTTTGTGATTCCCCTGGTGTTCCAGTATACTATCTTTGTTGGCTTTCCCCGTTTTTTGTTACCTGCTTTGATGTTTTGGCGATATTAGTGACATGAGAGTAAGGACTGTTGCTGGGTTTGGGTTTGGTCGTTATTGGAATTATTTTGTCGTTTGTAACATCCCATGTATACAACCAGCTATTTTCTATTAGGGCTCTTTGGCCACCTATTTTTATTTGCTTGTCTTTATTTTCCCTGGCGAAAATTCGTAGTTTGTTTGCCACCAATAGTTGTTGGCTAGTGAGATCGTTGTCGATGTATATATTTGTGTTTTTTAAGATTTTATTTTTTTCTGACATTACTTTTCTTTTGGTTTCATTATTTTCAAAGTATACTCTATATATATCTGAGTTTTTTCCTACTAATTCTACCTTCGATATGTTTTCTTTGATCTGAAACTTGTTTTGCAGGAACTTTTTAGCGATCACGGCTACTTGGCTTGTGTGTTGCGCTTTGGTAAGTCCTTTTATTATGATATTTCGACTTCTTGATTTTTAACTTCCCGCTAAGAAAATTGAAAATTTTCAAAAATCGGGAAGTTATTGGTTTTACCCCGTTTTCGAAAATCGAGTTTTCATCAGATCTCGACGTTTTGAGGTCCTAGGAAGCGATTTCGACCATTTTCCCGAGGATGTCACTATGTCCGTGGCCGTGTCTGCGTGTGTGTCCGTGTCATGTGGCGGTGTGTGTGTGTGTGTTTTTTTTCCCCATTAGGGGGGGGGGGAATCCTTTTTACGGATTCTAGGCGTAGTTGTTTGGCCTGGATATGTGGCGACTCGACGCAGCGTCATACTAAAACTCGACGCTAGCGCCCCTACCCACTAAACCCTAAACCCCTTTCCTCTTTTCTCTAATCCCTCATGGAAACCGCCGTTAGGCATTACTTCGTGGGGGGAGGATATAGCGACCGCCTTTCCTTCTGGTAACCAAGGTATTATTTTACCTTTCTTCTAGTTGTTGTCATTTGCTCTTTTTCTCTCGATGGAACGCAAGTCTATAAGGACCTCTGTTGCAAACGTGCTTGCGGCGTTCCAGGCAGCCTCTGATGACAGCATTGCTTCTACTGTTGTCTCTGGTTGGATTTTCTTCTTCAGGATCATCTCTAGCTCATCTCGCTGTGGGTAAAATCGTGGGCACTCAAAGAAAACGTGCTCCACGTCTTCATTGATTCCTGGGCAGGACGGGCACCCCGGTGAATCATCATGCTTGAAGCGGTGAAGATACGTCCGAAAACATCCATGTCCTGACAACATCTGCGTCAGATAGTAATTGACCTCGCCATGACTCCGGTTCAGCCAAACGTCGATCTTCGGTATGAGACGGTGTGTCCATCTTCCTGTTGTCGCGGCGTCCCACTGCGATTGCCATCGTGCGATGCTGTTCTGCTCTTCTTCAGCTCTGAGTTCCTCGGCACTTAGTATGGTTGACCTCTTTCGTTGGTAAAGGTTCCGTATTTCCTCAGCTAGAACTCTGAGCGGCAAACTTCCGGAAATGACACACACTGCTACTTCTGAAATCGTGCAGAATGCACTGGCTAGTCTTACAGCGCTCAGTCGATACATTGGTCCAGCTTTTCTCCATGATTCTTGCAACTTCAGCGCGTCCGCCCAAAT